ATTCTTCCAAGCAACAGCTCATGGAGAGGGTCTTAGCTCTCCAACGTGCTCTGCTACTGCATGCATCCCCAAACAAAAGACCCGGTAGATACACAGCCATGTGTAGAGCTGGTAATTTACATTCCAAAGCACACGAGAATTGACTGCCGTCATTTGAGTACGAATTGCGGCGAAAAGACTGCTCGACGTCAGCATATTTTGTGCCGCGGATGAGTCGAGTACACCAACATGACAAACATGCAGCCTCATTCTTGCCTGAGAGCTTGTCTGCAGCAGCGGTGTGGGGAACTTGATATGCCTAAGCTTCTAGTCTGTCGCGGAGTTAACGGAGTCCAATACTGCCGAGAGCGCACCACAAACTAAGGCAGTGGACCTACATCGCCATGTACAATGCTCCAACCCGCTAACTTACGGGACATTGGAACTATGCAGACACTTCATGTAGTTCGGGACTTCCCTGCATGAGTACTTGAGCTTGGTATGGATCCTGGACGTAATGAGCTACCCTGTGACTCGGCCCAAAGTTTGAATCATGTAGCAATCCTTTGAAAGGTATCTTCAGCTCTTCCTACCAAGCAGCGTGTTTACAAAGCACGGGTTCGGTTCCTCCGAGCTTTGTAATAAGGCTTGAAATGCCGCTTTGATTCGCATCTACCCGACTCTTGATACTGTGTACGGCATTTACCCTCTACGCTTACTGGGTATATTGACGTGTCCAGAGCTTAGCATGTACTGATATATAACGAGGTGTTTCCGAGCTCATATTGGCGGCCCACACCCTTCACGGACTACAACAACGTCACCATTTCACCACACAAGCCAGAGTCCTTGAGAAGTTCCCCATCATCCATCGCAATGTCTAGATACGCCGCCTCCCACGTTAGCACCCAGGGTCCTGGAGATGCGCGGCCTACAGCTCTTCAGGTCGTTGAGGATGAAGACCTATTCAACAAGCTCGCCGGCAAGGTCGTCCTTGTGACGGGCGCAAACTCTGGTATTGGTGTCGAGACAGCGCGAGCCATCCACGCCACTGGTGCCACTCTCTACATCACTGCCAGAGACTCGGCCAAAGCCAAGCAGGCTATCGAAAGCATCAAGAACGGACCCGGCCCCAAGTCCGATGCGCCCATTCACGCCATAGAGTTGCGTCTGGATTCCCTTGCCTCAGTACGAGCAGCGGCCAAGGCCTTCCATGATAAGGGCGACAAGCTCAATCTACTCATCCTCAACGCTGGCGTCATGGCCACACCCGAGTGGAAGACGGAGGACGGTTTCGAGGCCCAGTTCGGCACCAATCACTTGGGCCACTTCCTCCTCTTTCAACTGTTGAAACCCGATTTGCTCGCAGCTTCCACGCCTGGTTTCCAATCGCGCGTAATTTCTGTGGCCTCCTCGGCCCATCGCTACAGCAAGGTCCGTCTTGACGACCTCAACTTTGAGAAGGATCCTTACGAAGCCTGGACTGCGTATGGACAATCTAAGACGGCCAATATCCACTTTGCCAACGAGATCGAAAGACGATACGGATCCAAGGGATTGCACGGCCTCTCTCTGCACCCCGGTATCATCCAGACCAACCTCTCTCAATATCTCAGCAAGGAGGTACTGGCGTCGTTTGCGACGAATGATGCGCTGATCAAGGGCATGAAGAGCGTAGGCCAGGGGGCGGCCACGACCATTTACGCTGCGCTGAGTAACGAATGGGAAGGCCGAGGCGGCAGGTATCTTAGCAACCTTGCCGAGGAGGGTCCAGCGGAAATCAGTGAGAATTGGTTACAAAGCGAGGTTGGCTACGCCCCCTGGGCTTACGATGAGGAGGCTGCAAGGCAGCTTTGGGAAAAGTCGAACAAGCTTGTGGGCATTGACGACGAGTAACAGACCTCGGCCTCTAGCGTACGTAGTCCTCAGTCTAGTAACAGATGAGCCGAGCATAGTATCAAAGCACCTGCCTTGTACACCTCCGGACCAAAACGAAGGAACAGCCTTAGGATACACTCTCTATGTACAAGAATGAGCTACGACCCCATGTCTCACTGCCCCTGTTTCAAACCGGACGGGACCAGTAATAGATACATCATTCTGCCCTCGTAACCATACTTAGCCTCCGGTCGTAAAAAAATCATTTCCTTAAGGCGCCGTCAAGCACTGATGTATAGCATAGATAATCCATAATATATCATAACACAAGCACGAACTCCGCTCGTGCATGCTCGCGCCACAGACGGTTTATGTCACATCTAGCGGCCGCTAATATTCATGTCAGGTGGTCCCGCGGAGCCACCGAACAGGGGGGCGGATTAGGCGCCAATGGTTCCGAGAACGTGTATGTAAGGAGCGGCGGAGGGCCAGAATGCAGATGTATTCCGACCCCCGATCTACTCTATTGCTACGGACTACGTATGGAAGGCCTCCTCAGTCCGCTCCAAATCAAGCATTGGCAATGTAGTGTTCCCCCGAGCGTCGATACTTCCGTCCCTGGTTTCCCCAAGACAAAGGTTGAGGATCTCTATTCCGGGGCCGTCATGAATACTATCGATCCACATGACTTGTTTCAACTATTCTGAACGTCGGGCCACGTCCTGCCTAGGTTGTCTAGGATCAGAGGGCTTAATCGTTGCCGGAGCCAGGTATGATCGAGGTCGTGGAACACAGATGTTGCCCCTACCATTAAAGCCCAGGCGAAGAGATAGCTCTCGCCAGCCGTGGCGGGTGTAAAGGCCTGGCAAGCTTGTCGCAGCTGGTTGGCCAGATGGGGGTATTCAAATTTGATACCAGGGAAACTCCAGAAAACGGTCGTCAAGAATGCTAGAAGTGACAGCCGAAGAGCCCTGGAGGGTATTGTTATCATTTATGTGTCAGCATAAGCAGGCGGGACTGAATGGATGTCATGAGCTCTTCGAGCGACATCTCCCGTATTCTTTTTGACCGGATCGTGCTATCGTTGATGAGCTTGTGAGAGACCCTGCACATCTTCCAGATGCTGTACAGC